GAGAGAGAGAGGGGGGCAGAGATAGGGGGAGGGAGAGGGAGAGGAAATGGAAGGGGGTGGGTGAAAAGAGAAAGGATGGGTGGGCGGGAGCAGAGGGACAGAATGCTTCAGAAGTCTGGAATCTCACCGAACTGAGGAGCAAAGACGAGTGTGTGTCCCAAGATGACCCAGCTGATGCTGATGACCCGGATGCCGTGCAAGCACGTGATGTCTCCAGGGCTGTGCTTTGACCTCATGACGTCAGGGATGTTTGTGTACAGAGAGAAAGCCAAGAGAAATCGTGTACACAAGTCTGGGGAATGCAAAATGGTAAAGCATTTCGACCAGGCTCCATGAAGCACTTTCGTTAGTACTTGGTAATTTAAACTCTTTATTTCATATTTTACTTCTTCCTTTTCCCATGTTCTTAATTCCTTTCTTTCCCTTCCTCAAGGAGCTTAGAACTAATGGAGCCTCCTCTCTCTCTTCGCGGCGCCGCGAGCAGTACGCCGCGTTGGGGATCAAATAGGTCATATTCTCCCTTTCACCCCTGAAGACAGTGAAAGATCTTGTCAGTTTGTAGTATGTTAGTGCTTAATCAGCAGCTTGCACTGTATGCTTCCCGGCAAACTGAGAATGTTTCTGAGTGTTCTATGGTCTGTTGGGGTAATAAAAATAATAATATAGTGTAAAGTGCATAGAGCTTGCTGTCGAGCGGGGATATGCGCTATACAAATGCTATTTGTTATAATATATTATTATCATTATTAAGGCTTTCACTACTTCACTTAAACTATTTTGTATTGCTGTTCAATCCAAACGACCTATTCAGTTCTTTGGGGGAATACAGCACCCACAGACTGCCAGACGCACACCGCTGTCATTCATTCTGTCTTGACTAAGAAAGCTGTTTACTGTTACAGTGTTCTAACTTATTCTGGTGGGAAGCGTGGAGAAGTTCAACAACAACAACAACAACAACAACAACAACAACAACAACAACAACAACAACAACAGCAACAAAACAACAACAATAACAGCAACAAAACAACAACAGCAACAGCAACAACAACAACAGCAACAACTACAACAGCAACAACAATTACAACAGCAATGACGACAACGACAACGACAACGACAATAATAACTACAACAACTAAAAAAAAATATAAGCACCAACAAGAAGCTCATGAAAACAGGCAACAATAGAGAACAGAAGAATGGAGGGAAATAGAGCCGATAAGCCTTTGACTTTGAGATGTCACATAATACTGTGTTATTGGCGTCATACCATAATTTAAGATCTTTGCCTCTCCTGCTAGCAAGAAAATGGGTCATTAACTGAAATTGCCCCCCTCCCTCCTTTTCGTCTTTATCCCTTTCCTAGTACAAATTATAATCATTCCCATCCCTACCCTCCTCCCATCCCCCCGCACCTACCCACCCACATGTCATCCACCCCTCTGTAATCTCATTCCCATCCTAACCACCCCCTCCCCAACCCCCCTAGGATACAGAAACTAAAATTTACTTTTGGATGCCTTGCATATTTTTATACGCCTGCGAATCATGGACACTAATCGCAGAATTAGAGAAAAAGATTCAGACCACAGAGATGAGATGTTACCGCAGACTTCTTGACATCTCGTACAAAGACCACGTTTTAAATGTTGAAGTACGAAAGAGAATCCCCAACGCAGTGGGGCAATATGAAGATCTACTGACCACAGTGAAGAGACGAAAACTAAAATGGTATGGGCATGTCACAAGATCCACAGGACTTGCCAAAACAATCCTGCAAGGAACCTACAAGGAAAGAGAAAGAGAGGAAGGCAGAGAAGGAGATGGGAGG